CCAAACTCCCTGAACCCTAAACCCTAAACCCTAAACCCTAAACCCTAAACCCTAAACCCTATACCCAAACTTCGACACCACGTGAAAGCCGGACGACGCCCACCAGCCCAAATGATGGTGGGATGGATGGGCCTGGATCCAAGCAAGTTTGCTCACGGGTCTTGCAATCGCAGTATAGCAAAGTTACACTAACTTTCAAGCAAGGTTTAGGGACTCTAAACCCTACACCCTAAACCCTAAACCCTAGGTTTAGGGGGTCAGGGTTCCGGACAGTCTCTTCGGGTTGCAGTGCGCAGTTGCTTTCAACCGGCACTTCACAACTTCGGGGTGAACGCCTGCGACCCAAAGGGGCTTTGGGTTTAGGGTTTAGGGTTTAAGGCTTTGGGTTTAGGGTTTAGGGATTAAATTAGGGTGTAGGGTTTAAGGTTTAGGGCTGAGGGTTTAGGGTTTAGGGTGTAGGGTTTAGGGTTTAGGATAGTAAAACCTCGCGGCTTCAAGTCTTTTGAGCCTTTCCTGCTTGTCCTTTCGGATTCAAGGGGGTGGGGTTTTTGATTGTGTGATGTATTCGTTCTCTGGGCTTCATCTAGACGTGCATGTGTACAGGTGTGTGTATATATATATATATATTATGAAATATACGGACCTTAGTCTTCTCAATGAGAAGGACTAGCATGGTGATGATGCTGATGACGATGATGCTGATGAGCGGTTACGATCTTGCTATTGATGTAGATGTCGGTATGAATGTGCAGATGGTGATGGTGTGACTCCTGTTGCATTGTCGAAGCTGGCATTCTCGGCCGTCAGAGGCGAGATGATTGCTGATAGGACCGCTGGTGGTGATGGTTAGCAGTGTTCATGGTGATGGTTGCAATGGAACGCATCGTGGCAATGATCGAGATGAAGATCATGCCATCGCCACAAATCGGTAACGACAATGGTATCATCAGTCGCGAAGCTGATATGATGGATGCGGCTGGCGAATATTATTGCTCCTGGTAGCGGGGCTGATCATGACTTGTTGTCATCAGTACTGTCCGCGCTGCTTACCTTTATGGTCGTTTCGGCTATGCTCCTTGTCGCTCCTGTCAGGAGGTTAACATAGTGACGGCGGTTGCACTATCATCCATTTAAAGCTCGATTGGCTTTGTTGTTTCCACCGATGCTGTTGTAGCCCTCTCTCCTGTGATGTGCGTGACTGTTCTATTGGGGTATTCCTTGTTGCTAGCGGAGTTCTTGTCGTTCCTGCCAGTCGGCAGTCTTTTCCGGTTGTGGGGTGCTATAGCTACCCATGAAAATTTTGGGGGGATGTTGTTGGCTGCTTGGTTTCGAAAGCTCAGTTCTGCTGAGAGTTGGAAACGTGGGTTTTGGGGTACTGAAGTTAGCGCAGATAGATGGGCTTCCAAGCCTTCGACTTTGTCTAAAATTACCCTGAGCCCCGGATGTGGTAGCGTGCTTTGCGAAAACCGAACCAAGCCAGTTTCGTCCTCATATAAAACAGCGGATAGAAATTCGGAAGATGTTTATTATCAGTTGTCTTTTAAATCTCTGCGGCCACATTTGAGGGGTCGTACTCTTGCTCCTGCTTTTGGTTCTTGCTGTTGGCTTTTGCTCTTGCTTCTGCTGCGTCTCTTGCGCCTGCTTCTGCTCTTGCTGTTGCTCCTGCTTTTGCTACTGCTCTTGCTCTTTCTTCTGCTTTTGGTTTTGCTTTGCTCCTGTTCCTGCTCTTCTGATGCTCCTGCTTTTGCTCTAAGTCCTGCTGTTGCTTTTGCTCTCGCTCTCACTGTGGTCCAAGGGCATTGGACCCTAAACCCTAAACCCTAAACCCTAAACCCTAAACCCTAAACCCTAAACCCTAAGTGCGAGACCTCAAGATGAACGAGAAAGCACCTCATGCACAGTTAGGGTTTAGGGTTTAGGGTTTAGGGTTTAGGGTTTAGGGTCCCTGCAGTGATGGAGCTGGGAGCTGTTTTCCCAAAGGGCGCGGGCAAAATGCCCTGGGTTTCCGAGGCCCTCCTCCTTTTTTTGTGCTCAATGTTGTGAAGGATGCAGAAAAAAATATGACCCTGAAAGCCTTGAGCTTTGCTGCATCTGAAGTTGATGTGAACCCGACAAAAATGGGCAGATCTTTGCTGCTGCGCCATTGGTGGCTCTTGGAGTTTACTTGTCCCGCAAAGTCGTGGTTGCCAGCTAGTTACCAAATACCAAATCAACCTATGTAAATTAAAATGTATAAATAAATAGATAAGATATATATATATATATATATACATGTATAAATAAATAAATAAGTAAATAAATAAATATAAATATAAAAATAAATATAAATATAAATATAAATATAAATATAAATATAAATATAAATAAATAAATAAATAAATATATATATATATATATATATGGTGGAGCTTTGTGATATACCACACCATTAGTTGAGGGAGGGGTCTGCATCTGCCCGAAGTTAAGTTTGGGCATTCGTCACCAGTTTAGTATCTCACCACATTGAGGTAGTGCTCAAGGTCGAGCCATGCCTCAAAGATCGGAGACAGTGCTGGGCAAGCAGCAAGATGTTTTTGATCCCCAGGACCTTGAGCCCGAGGATGTTGATCCAGAGGTGTGGTTCGGCACTGACGACCCAATTCCGCCTGAATTTCCGGAAGGTTCAGAGGAAGATGAAGGGGACGACGGAGTTGTCGAGCTGATGCAGCAGGGCGTTGCCTTTATCAACCAGATGAAGGCGACGCGGCCAGAAATATTACGTGGAGTCCGTGTTTGGAAGCTGTTGCATTTTTTGCCACCGACGTGGCTACGAGGCAATCTCACGGATCTGTACGGATTGAGTCAGCAGACAACGCATCTGGATCAGTTTTGGTCCCACAGCTGGCAAGGGTCGCAGTGGACCAAGTATGTCAATATGCTTTACCTGCATAATTGTATGCCGGCCAGCATCGCAGGAGCATTGAGCACCGGCGTAGCCTGCGGCCTCGTCTCAGCAGGATTTCTGGGTGCACGACAAGGATGGTGTCTGCTGTTCGGGTTTGTGGCCTTTTGGATAGCCTTGTTATTTTGGCGTCCACGAAAGCTGGTGTTTTTTGACATCGCATGCATTCACCAAACTGACGAGCTGAGAAAGGAAGAGGGCATCATAAGTATGGGTGCATTTTTGAATCAGTCGACTTCCATGCTGATTCTGTGGGATCCTACGTGGGTCACAAGACTGTGACTTGCATTCACATGACATAAAGTTTTTGTCTTAGGCCATGTTGCACCAGTCTTTCGTATGCCGGACCTTGGAGCCCTCAGAAGCTAAGGTGGTGCATCTTCGAAGTCGCTGCATTTCTACACAGCCGCAGTCCCGGCTGCAAGGCAAATCTACAGATTATTCCTCCCTTGCTAGGGCCAACGAATCTGGGCTTTGAGATGCTAGTCTGCGTGCTAGACGCACTGTACTTCTACATTGAATCCTCTTCAGACGAGGCAGTCGTGGGAGAACAGTTTTTATTGCTCTTTGGTCCTTTGTTCCTGCTTTTCGGCATCGTGGTGCACGCTTGGCGAGGTTATGCCCGCAGCATTGAGACACTGCAAGAGCAACTCCGTGAGTTTAAGGTTGAGCATGCGAGAAGCGCGTGCTGCGATGGCAATGAAGACAAGCCTCGACCCGACCGTGAGATTATTCTTCAGTGCATCGCTGCGTGGTACAACTCACTGGGCAGCTTTGAATCGCAAGTGCAAACGGAAGTGCGGATGACCGTCATCGATCAGCTTGGATACAAAGTCTTCTCTTATCAGCGCGTCTTGCTAGTGTTGACTCCACATGCCTGGTTTCGTCTTGAGTATGCAGCCAGCCATGCAGGAGATCCCATCCGGCAGATAGTCGACCTCGCCCAGATGTTCACTTATGTGCTAGCCATTTTCCCGCTGGTGGATCAACTGGGAATCCGTGCATGCTTCCGCTTGCGAAGACGATGTCGTAAGCTATACTTGGACTTCTTGCTATCGATGGCCATCGTGTTCGGGGCTTTAATGCTCTTCGTCGCCTGCTATGCGATCCAGCTCTATGTCTTCCGTCAAAACTATGTCGTGCGTCAAAACAGACCGGAGCTTTTCCTGAGTGTGATCTCAATGCTTGCATGGTGGACGGTCACAGCCATCCTGTGGCGATTCATTTGAGCACACGACTTGAACTGGCTTTAAGTTGGAAGCCCTAAGGCCAACATCCATTGAACTTGAAGTCTGAAACATCAGACCCTGAACCCAAAAGTCACGTGGCGGTTCCCTAAACCCTAAACCCTAAACCCTAAACCCTAAACCCTAAACGTTCGACTTCTGTGCCATCATCACGTTTTCTGCCCACGCCCGTGGCAAAATGGCGAGAGCCCCGGGCTTCATTCTCAACGGTTGGGTTTCCTTCCTGGGGGATCCTTTAGGGTTTAGGGTTTAGGGTTTAGGGTTTAGGGGTGCATCCGAGTGGCCAAAGACTGTCTGGTGCTTAGTAGGGAATGGGGGAATGGGTTACAGGGACTTCTATAAGGGACCTTAAAGGACTATCATAGGGATCCATTCCCCCATTCCCTACTAAGCACACCCTAAACCCTAAACCCTAAACCCTAAACCCTAAACCCTAAACCCTGAACCCTAACCCCTATCATAGGGATCTTCCCTACTAAGCACCAGACAGAAGAGCTCTCAGAGGCGAAAACGGAAAGGGAACGGCACGGCACGTCAAGGGTTGATGAAGGCTTCAAGTTGCGAGAGCTGTTCTTAATATGGGTGGTTGTCAAAATTATGGTCCCTTTTTGGGTCCTTATTATAATACGGCACCTATTATTTAGGGTACCCCAAAAGGGACCGTAATTTTGACCACCCATATCGATATGATGTAAACCCCCGTTCAGCACAAGTCATAGTGCAATAAGCCACTGAACGGCGCGTCAGGTTGAGCATGAACCCTAAACCCAAGTTAGCTCTAGATCCTAAAGCATCTGAAGCCCCAAACCCTACACCCTCGACCCTCAACCCTGAAGCCTAAACCCTAAATCCTGAACTCCTGAACCCCAAACCCTAAACCCTAAACCCTAAACCCTAAACCCAAAGCAACAATAACCCTGATCGACTCAGGGACTTAGAGTGTGCGGTCTACGACTTTGAGACACGGAAAAGAGTTCCATGAAGAAGTCCCTGCACAGTTTAGGGCCTTGAGGGTTGAGGGTTAGGGTATAGGGTTTAGGGTTTAGGGTTTAGGATTTAGGGTTTAGGGTTTAGGGTTTAGGGAGGGTTCCTGAAGCGAAAGGGTCCAAGGACCCAAGACTTAGGTACTTGGGTCCAGGAATTATGTAGGTTGGTATTTGGGGGAGTTTATGACTATTGGGTACGTCAGGGCAAGCCTTGCGGATATTTGGGTGTAGGTGAAAGTGTGAACTCAGAATGTACAAACAATAGCTGAACTGTGAGAAGGAACCCGTAAACTCTAAGTCCTAAATCCTAAACCATAGTCCTAAACCCTCCATTCTATCCCCTAAACCCTATACCCCTATAGTACCCTCAAAACACCAAGGGTCCCTTTAAAGGATCCCTCCTTTAGTTTTTTGAGTTTCGGACGAAGCCTTTGAAAGTCCTCGGATCCAGACTTTCTACCCGTTCATGAATCAGGGGGGGGGGGCAGTTGCAGTAATATAGGGCCCGCAATAATTACTGGGTTGTCTTTTGGGATCTTTTTAAACTTCCCTTACTATTTTGTAGAGAACCAGAAAAGTAAGTAATTTTCAGAGGGCGTAAAGGACAACTTAGATTACCTAGACTATTTTTGTGGGGTTCCTTACTATAACTATAGCATAATATACCCCCAAAACCCCATTCGAATTATTAAGGCCCCACCATCAGCTTCAAAGACGAGGCATCTGTGTTTGAGCGCACACCACGCAGACACCTCTGGTGCTCAAGCACGATTTACCCTAAACCCATAACCCTAAACCCTAAACCCTAAACCCTAAATTCTAAACCTTGGCTGAGGGGCCCCAGTTCCAGGACTACGCTCAGGTGGCCTTGTGGCTAGGCTGCGGCCCACTGGCAAAGCTACTGGTCATTCTGTCCCAGCGTGCTGCCCACTCGGAACCTCTGGCAGAGACAACGGCGGTGGCAGAGGTGAGGAGCGTGCCAAGGATAACAAGGGAGTACATCCTCTACTTTGATGTTTGGCGATCCATCTGTGTTGCCCTGGTAGTGATCACCCACTCCAATGAAGCCTATGCAGAGTGGAATGTTTTTGCCGTCCAGCTCTGGGTCTTGCCGTATCTTGTGCTCATCTCTGGCACTTTGTGCGCTGTCAGCAAGAGAGGCGTGCTAGACTACGCAGCAAAGCTCATGCTCTACACCTCCGCGGGCAGCCTGATGAACCTGCTAGCCCTCGTGGCTCGCGGCAGCCCGAAGTGGTGGGACGACACCAGCCTGAATATCGCCTTCCAGCTTGGCTTCACTTTCCAGCTCGCCCTCTTTGGCCTTTTGATCACACCGCTTCGCTGGCAAGTCTCCGAACCCGAGAAGGCGGGGATTGGGGAGGGGTGGGGGGAGTTCGGAAGTCTCCCCTACCTTAGATGCTCCGTGGTGCTGAGGATTGCTTGGAATAGGGACCCCGTCAAAGGCAAGCGGCCGGGCGCGGTGGAACATTAGCATCTTCGGGGCTCTTGCACTCTGCCTTCTCGTGGCAATCATGGTGGAAGCGTTGCTCGACGGGCCCGGAGAGGGCTTGAAGGAGGCAACGGATTTCGTGATCATCCCGGTGACGGAGTGTCTCCTACATGTCCTGATGCTCTGTGTGCTTGCAGAATATCTGCCGATCCGGTGGAAGGGCTTCTGGGTTCTTGTAGGATATAAGTTTACATTTTTGCTATAATAAAACCTAATAAGGATTAAAAATGATCAGTTTTAATATAGCTCCGTTTGTGTCATACCAAAACCTAATAAGGATTAAGAATGATCATTTTAAATGTAGCTCCAACAGGGACCTAGGCTTCATGGGCCACGCGTCATGGCTCTTCCTCTACAGCACCCGGCTCTGGCGCCGCCAGCCCCGACCCATGGGCCCCGAGCTGCACCTGGGGGAGCTCTTCTTCTGGGCCTTCACCACCAAGTTGGTGCCCATGGCCGGTCAGGAGGTCGGCTCTAAACAAGGCCTAAACCCTAAACCCTAAACCCTAAACCCCCCAAACTCTAAACCCTAAACCCTAAACCCTAAACCTCTCAAACTCTAAACCCTAAACCCT